TGATCGTCGACAACCTGCACATGACGCACCGCAACGGCACCATCACGGGCGGCTTGGTCGGCACGCTGGTGCTGCTGCTGCAGGACGTGTTCGGCTTCAGCTACTCGCTGCACCCGGCGCCGCATCCGCCCAACATGTCCTCCTGGGACTGGGCGGTGGAGGAGCTGCACGCCGGCCGGGCGGACATGATGGCCGGCAAACTGCTGTACAGCCCCACGCGCGCCCGCCTGCTCGACTTCTCCCAACCGTATATGACGGAATACTCGGGCGCCGTGATCGACCAGCGGCGCACGCACGTGCTGAGCGAGTTCCGCGCGACGCAGCCGCTGCAGAGCCGCGCCTGGTGCGCCCTGCTGGTCGTGTTGACCGCGGCCGTGCTCGTGCTCTGCCTGATCTCCTGGTGTCACTTGCGCATGCGCGGGGTGTCGCTCGGTGCTGACGCCAGCCCGCTGCCCGAGGCGGACGCGTCGTTCTGGGCGCTGATCGTGCTGGGCGTCTGCTGTCAGCAGGGCGCCGTGGTGCGCGCGGACGGCGCACTCTCCTACCGGCTGGCCATCAGCGCCGTGTACCTGCTGTCGCTCTTCATCTTCGCCTGCTTCTCGGGCACGCTGCTGGCCCAGATGGCCATCACGCGCAACCAGATGCCGTTCACCAGCTTGGATGAGGCGGTGGCGCAGGGCTGGCACCTAAGCGACTTCATCACCAGCGGGGCGCTGCGGGAGGCAGTGGCGCAGCCGCTGATGGCTGGCCACGACCTGACGAAGCTGACGACCTCGCCCGATGGCCCGTTGCAGGGCCGTAACCTGCTCCTGTTCTGCGGCAGCGACGCGGACGCCATGTTTGGCTGCTTTTCGAGCAACGGCGGAAACAGTCATTGTCCGGTTTGCATGCACCCAGGGAAAACGCAGCGGCAACACTTCTCGCTCGCTTTCCGACCGAATTTCCCGTACCTGCGCCTGGTCAACTACGTCATCCCGCAGCTGGTCGACCGGGGCATCATGAGTCGCGTGCTCAGCAAATGGTACCCCAGAGGCAGGGACGCCATCCTTTGCCCCACCAATACCGTGGCGCTGGAGAAGAATCATTTTGGCATGGATAATTTGAAGTACGTATTCCTCATTGTCCTGGCAGGCATGCTCAGCGCGGTCGCGGTGTTGTTCCTGGAGACAGTGGTTTTCCTACTTTACACGACCTACAACAGAAGGCGAGGGAACGCCTCAGTACACCGCAACACTCGTGCAACGGTTCTAGTTGCGTCGTATCTGGAGGATTCGCAGAAACGTCAGTAGCATCATGATCGGGTCTCGGCACCACGGTCCCTTTGAGTCCTATCTCCTCAAGAACGGTCCTCTCGAATTTATCTGCAGCCCTCATGCAATTTGGCGTTTACAGTGGTCCTGTTTGTTCAGCATAACGCATGCATTGCACAACGGGATTTTTCTAGTAACTATACTTCCCCAACCAGTCCGCAAGGCAGGCAATTGGTGCATACATGTAAGAGATAAACTGACTTAACACAGAGCCATGCTTGTGACGGGTCTTCGGAGCTTGGACCGGCGAGCTGTGACTTCTACCCGTGGATAATCACACCGCCGGCCAGTCACCCTGGCAAGGAAGCCGGCGTTTGTCCGGGGGAGCAGCTATTTCTTGGCTGTTTTTATATATTTATCTTTATCAAGTTATTTTCTTTTATAATATATTTCAGCACGGTTTTGGTTGCTGTCCATGCATGTTGACGGCGTTTTGAAGGCGAGGTGATGTTATCAAGATGACTGCAAGTTTTACTTTCTCCGGCAACCTACGGCCTGATCGGATGTCTGAGCGACTTAGAAGGATCGTTAGCAGGAGAGATAAAAGCTAGGGTCTTTGCATGATAGATTTACATACCTATAGTAAACGAAGCAAAAAGGAAGTATAACAGCGAGCGGAACGATGGATTAGTTAAATCCATACACAGAACGATCAAAATAAGAACCTAAGGTATCAATGTACATATACATAAGTTAACTACGCAGATGAGACCTTCGTCCGCTTTCTGCCCCCGCAGGGCAGCGCGGATGAGTCACACGCTTCTCGCGTGTCGATGTGCCACACAGTGAGGGGGAGAGAGAGAGAGGGAGAAGGGGAGAGGGGGGGAGAAAGAGAGAGTGGGAGAGAGGGAAAGAGAGAGAGAGAGAAAGAGAGAGCGAGATAGGGAGAAAGAGACAGAGAGAAAGAGGGAGAGAGAGAGAAAGAGAGAGAGAGAGAGAGAGAGAGAGAGAGGGAGAGGCGATGTCACAGGTTACGCATACAATATATATATATATATATATATATATATATATATATATATATATCCTACCATACACCACATTGGTACGACCACGACACTCTCACTGCGCCTGACAATGCACTTACGTGACGGGGCACCTCTGGACCACATGCGACACGAACACGACATGACATTGACACAACAACTGACAGACAGCACTGACATTTTACGGACGTGCAATGGCAGAAGACGCTTTCAAATGTGGGAAAGCATATTCATTAACGAACTCTCTACGGCCTTAAGCACACAGACAAATTCTTGCACAACTCTTGAACTAATGGGTGGTGGGCGGTGAGCACTACTGATATGATTGTGGCAATAGTGTTCTCATTGTGTCTTTGTAATGCTCCCATGATGAGTATTTCTTATATGCATCAAAGTGAAAATAGAGTTCTGTCTTACTTCAATTAGTTTTGCTTCATTTATGTTCTCCGTACCAAAAGACATTTTCCAACAGTAGTGCACACTTTTTTGTCCTTGAAAACCATACACTTATTTGTTGTGCCATTAGTCTTCTTCGACGATGAGATAGGATCTCGAAATGTTAGAATGTTAGGAGCGATGAATATATGAGTAATTTTGTGCAAACCATCTTTAATCTAAGTGATGATGCCAAGTTAAAAGCCCGGAAACTAGAACGATGCGTCAAAAAGCTCGTCAATGCTGTGTCAGCAATTATTTTTTATCAAACACATAGACACACACACACACACATATATGTGTATATATATATATATATATATATATATATATATATATACCATCAAGTGGCCTAAAGCTCTACGCCCTTTATTATCCTTGAGTAACCTTATTATCCACCACACTGCACTGTGCATACTGGCTCCACCAAAAATTTCATATCATTATCGCGTTGCGCGTGCCGGTAGTATGGCGTCGGCGGCGCAGGCCAGGCCAGCGTTACCGGCTGCGACGGCGGTCATTTCGTTGGCCTGACCTGGCCGGGTCACTCTGGATGGGGTGATCCGTAAAGGGAGTGGAACAGGGATATGGATGAATGAGTGGCCGGTTCTGCGTGGTAGGAGAGGTGGTGCAGAGCACGGGGAAAGGAAAATGACGGCCGTGAGTGATACCCGGTGGCCGGCTCCGGCTGGCTGCGCTAGCGTACCTGCGTCGCGCCGGTCTCCTGGGTGGCCGGCTCCGGCTGGCCGTGCTAGCGTACCTGCGTCGCGCCGGTCTCCCGGGTGGCCGGCTCCGGCTGGCCGTGCTAGCGTACCTGCGTCGCGCCGGTCTCCCGGGTGGCCGGCTCCGGTTGGCCGTGCTAGCGTACCTGCGTCGCGCCGGTCTACGGGGTGGCCGGCTCCGGTTGGCTGTGCTAGCGTACCTGCGTCGCGCCGGTCTCCCGGGTGGCCGGCTCCGGCTGGCCGTGCTGGCGTACCTGCGTCGCGCCGGTCTCCCGGGTGGTCGGCTCCAGCTGGCCGCGTTGGCGGGCCCGCGTCGTGCCGGTCTCCTGGGTGGCCGACTCCGGCTGGCCGCGTTGGCGGGCCCGCGTCGTGTCGGTCTCCCGGGTGGCCGTTCGACCACCCGCGTTAGGAGGTCGTCAGAGGCTCCCTGGCGTACACAGACGCTGCGATGCGCTATTGGGTGCATCGGTCGGTTCCGGTGGGCCCGCCCTGCAGCTTCCGGGACGAATTGTTCTTACATGACTATAGTTTTCCCATCGACTAAGCTCGCCGGGAATTCTATTCGCGCTCGAAATTGTTGGTGGAAACCAAGTCCATCGCGGGAACCAAACTCCAAATGACCACGTTAATTGGTTTAAAAGATGAGCAACGTTTCCTGCAGGGAAAGAAATCACGGAATCGGTGCATGGACCTTAAAGCGTTTGGAATCTAAAGAAATTGTGAACGACAAAACATTCAAAGACGTCAGCGTAGATGAGCAACTGCAGCTGGTCCAGGCGGTCCCAGTACAGGCTGGGGACGGAAAAGTTGGCCGAGTCGCACCCTATCCTCAGATTTCTTAGTCCAGTCGCATGTCGTCGCGTTGTGGCCTCACCGAAAATGCCGAGCCAGGATTATCTTCTCTTGTTCGCAATCACGTAGTGCAGTCTCATACTCTACATATAATGCTATCATACTCTATACATAATATATACTATAATCACAAACGCAGGTACAGGACTGCATTACATGAAAGCATTGCAAGCACATCAGTGGATATGTGCAACGGCGGCAGATCGTGTTTCGGTGGCAAGGTCATGAAAACGTTATCCCGTGAGCAATGCAGACATAGTGCTACAGGATGTGATGCGGATACCTTGGTATACTCGGCAAACAATTTAAGTCCAAAATAATCCCTCACACTATCTTATATTTACGAAGCTTACGGACAACTATCACCTTGACTTGCCATGAATTTGTGCACGTGAGTGCCGCACTCAGATGAAGCCTGCCCCAAATGCCCCGGATAAACTTGCAAGCGCGGCCAAAGATGCGCTGAATCCGACATGTGAACTCGAGCCGACGCGGCAGGCGGCCGGTTCAGAGGAGCCATCCGTAATCGGATAGCCAGCGGATTAGTGGGACGGACCAGGAGTAAACCGGTCGGCAGGTACGGACCGGCCCGGCGGAGAGGCACGGCAGCCTGGAGGCCGCCGCCGACGGCCGAGAGGCAGCAGCCGGCCTGCGACCTCCGAGGCGTCAGCACTGCACGCACCGCCGGCCTCGTCTCAGGCGTCATGCCGTTCCCGTCAGCTGAAGCCGTGCTGACGCTGCTGCTGGCCCTCCACGTGAGCCTTGCGCGCGCGCGCCTGTGCACTGTTGGCGCGTCAGAAGCGCAGCGCGAACGCCGCGTCGCCATGTACTGTTGCTTTCGTGCCGTCGAAGTGTCGGTTATATATATATATATATATATATATATATATATATAAATATATATATATATATATAGGGGTATATACCATTTATATGCATATACATATCAATATACAGGCAATGTTAGCAAGCAGGCTGCTCTTTATTTATGTTTTGCTGCAAATCACTGCGAACTCAGTATTAAGAGTATTTTTGGATGTTTTCTCGATGTATCTCTCTCATGAGATGTTCCGGTCAATGTTCACTTAAAATGACACTGAAGCTCATGGTACAAGGAGCATGAGACTTGAAGCTTATGATAAGAGAAATAAATTGCTATATTGCATGGCCAGGTATTGGCTCAATGTATCTTTAAAGATACAACAGCTAGCTCATATATAATTGCAAATCCAATAAGAAGACTGTGGTCTCCTATCTAATAATGCACATATTGGCCACACAATAATGACACTCTCCAGATGTCTGACCATGCACCTACAAAACGGTGTCCTGGGCACACACACGCGTGTGCGCACACACACACACACACACACACACACACACACACACACACACACACACACACACACACACACACACACACAACACACACACACACACACACACACACACACACACACACACACACGCACATACACACACACACGCACATACACACACGAAGAAACACGAAGTTAAAGCTGCATCAAATAGCTTTGGCTTCTTGTCATCAGATTGCAAGTCCATTCAAATGTGAACCAGACACGTAGGGATTCGGAACATGGATATAAAAGCTGGCTTGGTGACGTGACAAAAGATATCAGCGAAAAGTTTTGGAATCGTGCTAAGAGCAGGACACAAAGCTTGCATAATGCAATGTTCGGCGGACATGGCACGATTAGCATGGCTCGATCGCCAGTGTTTGGGACAGGCATCATCAACGAATATGTACTCAAAAACATAGAAATGACGTTCCCACTTTAAGTAACCGTGCAAATCGGGAAATGATTGTTCTGACATTTTACTGCAGCGTTGTGGGTAACCTTAGTAAAAAAGTGAACCAGAAAAGCATATGTACCAGGCGGCATGCCTGGCGCTATATTCAAGACTTGGGCAGTCGCCACGGCGATGTTTCTAAAAGACATTTTGACCGGTCGATAGACACAGGATAGGTGCCGATGACCGGAAGGAAGTCATAGTCTCCCCTATTTATAAAGGAGGGACCCTACGAGATCCTCTAATTATAAACTTATGTAACTTACGTGCAGTTGTTGCAAGCTGATCCAAATGATTCTGGCATCTTGAATGGTTTCCTATTTGAAGGAACAGAAGCTCATAGTTGATCAAAAGCACGGCTTCAGACGAAACTCATCAAGCAAGACACATTTGTTAATGCTCATAAATGATAAGGGAAAAGTACTGATCTAGCATTCCTTGATTTCACTAAGGCGTTTTACAATGTTCCCCATAAACGTCCACCCCAGAAGTTAAAATATTGTGGGATAAACTGGAAAATATTTAAATTGGATACCATCGTTTATTTCAAACTAAACACAGAAGGTGATCATGGGCAGCGTCCATTGTAAGTGTTTTTGTAAGTTCCGAGGTGGCCACGACCGTCTTTTAGGACCCTTGTTATTCCTTGCGTATATAAAGGGTATAGTCAAAGGATTTAATTGCGTAATATGTTTATTTGCTGATGACGTGGTTATACATTCATGCGTCGATTGTGCTCGCCAGACGAGTGCGATTTTGTGGGCAAGTTTGTGCTCCAAAGCTGGGTAAGGTGACAAATGGCTAATTAATTGACTTTAAGATTTCTAAATGTGCCATTATGCGAGAAACTGGAAGCAGATCTCTAACGGCACGCCCTATATTTTGAATAACATTGTGATAAAAATGGTGGATAAATATAATTACCTTGGTGTGCAAATATCAGACAGGCTTAATGGAAATGAACATATCAAAACATGGTTGGGAAAGTTAGCCAAATAATCAGGCTTGGCTAGAGAGTATTTAGCAGATGTACCAGAAATGTATAAAAACTGTCTATAAATTATTAGTCCCACCAATATTGGAATACGCACGTTGCGTATAGAACCCCAATGCCACGCACTTAGTCCATTGCATAGAAGTGGTTCAAAGGAGGGTAGCCAGCCTTGTCGCAAGCAAGTATCGTGGGCAAGAAAGTGTGAATGGTATGCTTGTTGAGCTACGTTGGAGACCGCTGGAACTTAGACGAAAGCGGGCCAGGTTTCGCCGACTTTCTGAATTGCAAATGAACTCAACGATATCAACGTTGAAAATATTATTGTCAGACCAAGCCATGTTGGGTATAGGGATCATTCAAAAAACACCCACTTAGTGCAGTCTCGTCTTGTCGCCATGCATAATTTAACCGCCGCTGTAAGCTATGTGTGCATGGACGTTCTTTCTGGCTATTGCTGTATTATCAAGGTTTTAAGTGCTGAGTATTGTTATCTTCGTGCAGCATTCTCAAACAAAGGATTGGTGTACTATTGGCGATCTAGTTCTTTGTGCAGGACATCGTATGATGTATTTGCATCCACCTCCAGGGCCATTATAGGTGTCTGTGGTGTAAGAAACAGTATGAATATAAATAAATGTGTCGAGCAAACGGCCAAAAATTTCATTTTTGCTGAGTTTGCTTCGCTTTGATTTTTGATAAAACATGTGTACATATATAACACACACACACACACACACACATATATATATATATATATATATATATATATATATATATATACATATATATATATATATACATATATGCGTGTACACAGAACATAAATATTTTTATATCCGCCGGCCTGTGCAGTGATCACGCGTGCAGGCGACACCTAGCAAAAACCGAACGAGTTGTGAAACTGTAGCGCACGTCACTGCCTTCTGCGACGAAAGAGAAAATGTGGCAGTAGTTGCCCTTTGACCGTTCTGTGGTAGGCATATCACTAATATCATTAACTAACATTAACTGAACAGCGAAGCTGTGGGGACGCACACAGTTCTCACCCGACGCGCAATACCACACACACGACAGCACTCGTTGGCGCCACCTATTGTTGACCCACACGACTAGGTCTTGACCTCGTACCGCTACAAAACGAAACATTGACTACCCGAGCCTCGGTGTTATGGACTTGCTGTGCTGAGGTCTCCCGCAAGAAACGTCCCCTCCCAGCCCGGCGGGGACTCAGGGATGGTACCACGTAGCTGATGGTGCCCCTGACCACGCCGGCCGCCGTCACGGGGCAGTCGGCCTCCGCCCGGGCCGATGCGGTGCAGCTGACTCCAGGGTGGAGGGTGGCTGTTTCGGCTCACGTCAAGCGCCGTATACATATATGGCGCGTGTATACGCGTGAGCTCGCGTGGGGATCTGGGGCGTGGGCTACCCAGCCACCCTTGGTTTCGATACACGCAATTCAGGAATGGAAAGAGCACATGTCAAGCATTTTTGTACTTGTCATTGCCTATTCGGACTTCCCGGTCAGCTCGAGAGGTCAGTCTTCCGCTCGTCGCGGCGTGAATTCGAGTCGCTTCAGGCGCCCGCTATTCGCACGTGACTAAGGTGGCCAGCGGACGGCGGCAGCAGCCGCATCGAAAGCCATGCTGCGTCGAAGTGCTGGGCGGACCGGGCAGAACATTGCAACACATGACACTTGCGCCACAGAATCCCGCCGTTGATCTGGAATTTCACCATCGAACCATGCAGCCAGGGTTAACGCAACAAGCGCTGTTCATTAGGAGCTTTCATCACAGAAATCCATGTTATGCAATGGTTCGGGCTAAATCATCTCTTTTTTAATGCCCAGTGGTGCCCAGGATCTTTGTTGCATCAATTATAAATGCACTTCCGTGAACAGCGAAATGTAGAGACAACAGCCGTAATTGCGTAACAAAACCAGCGGATAGTCGAGTACATGTGTACGCAGCTGAATGTACGCAGCTGAAACTATTGTTAAATGCACCAGAGCAGACCAACACCAAAAGCTCATTGATACGCCAGGTATTGCACCTTTTGGCGTTGGTGGGGTTCGCTAGTCTTTTCGTGGGGCGTAGGTACCGGCAATGGGGCCTGGACTCACTCGTCAATAAAAAAGCACCTAGTTTAGGCGGGTCACGTGATGGCGCACGTACAAACAATGCAAGGCTCCTGGAAACTGTTGCAAGTTTTCGTCAGTGTCATTTCAAGTTCTTTCTCGTGAGTCACTTGCCAGTCATACCGCACTTGTATTAATTTCCGGCTATACAAAGTAATGGCCTTGTATGGTCGCTTTCAACAATAAGGAGAGCATATTACTTTTGCAGTACCATTGACCAATGACTGGGCAGATACAGGGAACAAACATGGTGATTAAGACCATCTCGCCATGACTGACGCGGAGGAGTGTGCACAAACACACGAAACTACCTACATGTAAGCCGTCGGCGCGGATATCATGAACTGGTACCGGTGCACATAGTCGGTATATGTGCGTGTATTTACGAGCATGAATGCATTATGCGTAAGCTATCACACCAGCCATCTACACGTCATAAGCGCCTACCTTGAACTGTGCATGGCGGCTCAAAACCACGCCCCTCCCCCTTTGTTTCTGCAAGACCTCTTTTTTCTGAACAGACCTAGAGTCACTTCAGAGGAGGAATTACTTCTGGCTTAAGGCCATGCAAAGGACTGTGTTAAAGAAGTGTTACCAGCTTATGCTGTCCGGCGTAAACAAGGGAGAGGGCATTTGATACATTGCATTACATTACCTCAACATGGCTCATTTTGTCCAGAAAGTCCAACCACAAGTAAAGGAAACCGCAGCAACAGATATATCTATTTCACCCCACGCAACACACATTCCATACGCTTGAACGAGAAGTGATCCCCTCACCGACCCTTCCACCACAATGTTCGGGTGCGCCGAGTCCTGCGTGTGGCGTCCGTGGCAGCGGTGGTCTTGGCTCAGCCGACTTGTCGGCGACCCGGGCGATGGATGGATGCCGGGCCGCCTCACCGCAACAGCGGGGCGCTGTGTAACACAGCGCTGGTGCCCCCAGGCGGTGGTGACGTGCGCCGCCGAGACCGAGCCCCGGCAGCCGGCCGACCCCGGCCCGCGGCTCGCCGAGACCATCGGGCGCAGCGACCCGTCCAGCCCGATCGAGGTCAACGCCCCCGGCTGCGGCGCACCATCGCCCCGACTCCTCGCCGCGATCCAGGAGCCTGTGACCGTCGCCGCTGCGGCAGAGCCCGCCCTGCCGCCTCCTAGGCCGCCGCTGCGCATCGTCGGTGGCCGGCCGGCTCCGGCAGGCGCCTTCCCCTGGCTGGTACGCACTGCGCGGTATGGTGCGCGGTATGGCTGGTGCGCACTGCGCGGAATGGTGCGCGGTATGGCTGGTGCGCACTGCGCGGCGGCATACGGCCCGCTCAGCTGTCCGGGCTTCTTCTTTGCCGCGTGGGATATGGACCACTTCACTCAGACCCACTTGTTGTTGCTCAAAACGCCGCTCCAAAGCTTTAAATGGCGACGTATAAGCCCGCAGAGATCCCAAAATGGTCGGCAATTAGTAAACAGCAGCAGCATACGAAAGCAAACAATAACGAAGCACATTTGTAACATCTTAACGGTTGTCCCCCTCCCCCCCTCTCCCTGAATCCACGACAGAGCGATGACCAGCACTGCCAGCCGCATCCCTCTGACCAGTGTTCCGCGGGTCACCGAGGTCACCGTTGTCGTAGGTGGGCGTGGCCAACTTCTTCGGTTCGATCCCGTTCTGTGGCGGCGCCATCATCAACGAGCGGTTCGTGCTGACGGCCGCCCACTGTCTCATGAGGTACGCTCAACCATAGGCGGATCTCCTGGGGGGGGGGGGGGGGGCACGGGGCCATGGCCCCCCAAAACCTCTGAGAGTGTGTTTTGGCCCCCCCCCCCAAAACATTCCCAGAACATCATAAAAGTTTCGTCTTCTTGCCGTCTGTTTTAACTTGAGCTGTTTTAACTGCTTTGTTTTAACTTCTGTTTAAGTCCGCCCCTGCGCTCAGCGCGCGTCCCGCCCCGGTCACGTGACACGCGTGACGTCAGCCGGCCTGGGCACCACATGACGCGACATTTGCATCCTTGCGAAGTTCTGTATGTGAATCGTGCTTGTTTTACGCGCCCTTCGGGCGTCACCTAGTTTTCGTGCATCGGACGCCGCTCAGTTGTTTGCTCAGCTGTTTGTCTATGTAGCTCATCGGAGCTGGCAGCCAGAACGGCGGTGAAAAGCATTCATGACTGAGCACGTCGCCAGTCGTAAAAAAACGGACCAGTACGTGTGTTCGTGATCCCAAAACTTTGTTGCGCCCCCATGTCGATGTCAAGACCCAACGTAACTCAGCGTGGGTGCTCTGGATTATATTTAATCTGCTGGCCAAACTAGGTACCCCTGCATTTCTACCAACGTCATTCCTCTACTCCCAGCAACCTGATTCCAGACGATATGAAAATTTCTTGCTCGGCAAAATACCTTGAAGGTTTCACGCGCTGACGTCGTCGGCGTTCCCAATTTAATTTGCATTATTCACAGCGGATAATCTCGCATCATACAATGATGCGCGTTCAATATTCGCGGCTGATGCGTCACGGACATCATGTGGCGACGTCTATGTCACGGTTTTACCTAGGACGAATGCAAAACGCTGCATTCAGTGACTGGCTGGCGGCATGGCAGCACGTCAGGAGCAGAGACCGGCGCCAACACACACACACACACACACACACACACACACACACACGCACATATATATATATATATATATATATATATATATATATATATATATACATATGACCATCCGCAGCTTCATAAGCTTGGTCATGCAATGCGATGCCCGTAAATTCCGCCCATAGCCTTCCGTGGTCTGTACTTGCGATATGGATGTACAAAGCGTGCGTTGGGGGGGGGGGGGGAGCATTGATAGTGATGGCGCAAAATGGCCGTTGCCGTCGACGCGCCTATAACGCGCCCTTAATAGCAAACTAAGTGACCATGGACGCTGCTCTTGACATACACGGACGGCTGACATAATGGACTCAATGATGACCACTGGTGCCTCGTGATTCAAACGTCAGTAATTTACTCTCATGGTAAGTCGGCCAGTTGAATTAAGTTGACGCCAAGTTAAGAAATCTTGAGATCGGACTGCATTGGCCATTAGTTACGACTGCTTGGTTATCACCCACCACACTAACCTGGACTATCGTAACCCTGACAAAGATGGGGGCATTGATAATGTTCATCACACGACCGCTCCAGTCTAAGTATAAGTACTTAAAAAATGGGTTATCTGTACTGTGAGCAGTCCGTTTGCTGGCGAGGTATCAGTATGGGGCGTTGCGAGGTTGATTTCCATCGCCTGTCATCAAACGCCAGCATCGACGCACATGTCAAATGTCCATGTCCAGCCTGCGTCGATTATGATCTTCGAGATGTGACTAAGCCTGATATTCAAACCTTCTTTTCAGCCGATACCCCATTACTCTGAGCGTGCTGGTCAACAAGCAACTTCGGAAAAAGGACGCCAATCAGATCAAGTTTAGCATTAAGAGGATCATCCGGCATCCAGACTTCAGTCGCAAAACACTCAATGCCGACCTGGCTCTGCTCGAGTAAGACCGCTGGCTGACACGTCTGTGGCCCATAACACTCACTGCCGACCTGGCTCTGCTGGAGTAACACCGCTGGCTGACACGTCTGTGGCCCATAACACTCACTGCCGACCTGGCTCTGCTGGAGTAAGACCGCTGGCTGACACGTCTGTGGCCCATAACACTCACTGCCGACCTGGCTCTGCTGGAGCAAGACCGCTGGCTGACACGTCTGTGGCCCATAACACTCACTGCCGACCTGGCTCTGCTGGAGTAAGACCGCTGGCTGACACGTCTGTGGCCCATAACACTCACTGCCGACCTGGCTCTGCTGGAGTAAGACCGCTGGCTGACACGTCTGTGGCCTATATTTACACCATTCTCCCGTGCAGCAGAGTGTACAGCATATATTGCATAATTCATTAGATTAGATGCATCGCTCGTTGCATAGCATAAATTGCATGCCGTAATCACAAGTAACCAGACACCAAGGACAGCGATATGCCAGAATCCGGCCTGTCAATGTTTCTGTACTTGCGAAAATGTCACTGACATCTCTCACACTTTCGTGACGGCGGAATACTGCTACTGTGCGATCGAGCCGAGCAAATCTGTCAGGAGCAGTCACCGCGTGTGCTGCAGACTGAAGGAGTCGTCGCCATTGACTTTGTGTGCTGCAAGCTGAAGCAGTCGCTGCCAATGACTGTGTTAGCTGCGGGCTGAAGACGTGGCTACTTAGGACCGTGTGTGCTGCAGGCTGAAGGAGTGGCTACTAATGACCGTGTGTGCTGCAGGCTGAAGGAGTGACTACTAATGACCGTGTGTGCTGCAGGCTGAAGGAGTCGCTGCCAGTGACCTTGTGTGCTGCAGGCTGAAGGAGTGGCTACTAATGACCGTGTGTGTTGCAGGCTGAAGGAGTCGCTGCCAGTGACCTTGTGTGCTGCAGGCTGAAGGAGTCGGAGCCATTGACTTTGTGTGCTGCAGGTTGAAGGAGTCGCTGCCAATGACCGTGTGTGCTGCAGGCTGAAGGAGTCGGAGCCATTGACTTTGTGTGCTGCAGGCTGAAGGAATCGCTGCCAATGACCGTGCCTTAGCTGCAGGCTGAAGGAGTGGCTACTAATGACCGTGTGTGCTGCAGCATGGAGTCGCTGCCAATAACCGCGTGTGCTGCAGGCTGAAGGAGCCGCTTCCAATAACCGTGTGTGTTGCAGGCTGAAGGAGTCACTTAGGGAACTGATCTTGGCCCGCACCGTGTGGCCCATCTGCCTGCCGACGGCGCCGTGCGGCGGCGGCTCCAACAGTGACGCCTGCTTTCTGGGGCGCAAGGTCATCTTGGCCGGCTGGGGCTCGCTCAAGCGGGGTGGCCCCAAGCCAGTGGAACTACAGTACACCAGCGTCAACATCCTGCCGAACGGCCCTTGCGCTGAGAGTTACATACGGGAAGACATCCGCGTCAATGACAACATGATCTGCGCCGGACTCGAGGCCGGGGGGAGGGACACTTGTCAGGTGAGGACAGGTGTCCGATGGGGACGCGTCTCAGGTGAGGGTAGGCATCGGATGAAAACAGGTGGGGACAAGTGCAGAGCGTGAGATTGTCGGACGGGGACAGCTGAAGAGCGGTCCAGTGGCAGATGAGGGGAGCAGCCGAAGAGCGGGATGAGCGCCGTGTGGCGAGTGGGGACGGGTGGATGGTGGGATGGTGTCACAGCACGGTGTCAGGTGCAGAACACGTGGATAGCGGGACAGGGGACGGGAAAGGGCACGTGGAGAGCGGAGGAGCGTCGTTTGTCGCAAATGTGTTGTGCGTGTGTGGGGGGGGGGGGGGGGGGGGGGCTGCTAAACATGATAAAAGTTTCTCCCAACATACGCCACAAAAGTAGTTTTCCCCGGATTTTTGTTCCTACTTTCTTCTCAGAGTAGGGGAGAGGGGCTAGAGCCCCTTCCCTCCCCCAATAGGTCACCGCATCTCTGGGAAAGCGGAACGAATGTCAGGTAACGACATGTGGATAGTTGGACGAGTGATACACAACTCAGAGCGAGCTGCCGCGCTGACAAAGCCAGTGCCGTTGCTGGCGGCACCCGAAGTCTTCACAGCCCACCCTGTCGCCCGCTCCGTTCTGCTTCGCATGACGGCGAGCTGGTTATGTCGGCAGGGCGACAGCGGCGGCCCGATGATGCTGGAGCGGTCCGACGGCGCCTTCACGCTGGCCGGCGTCGTCAGCTTCGGCTTGTTTTGCGCCTCGCCCGACTTCCCCGGCGTCTACGTGCGCGTGACCGGTACGTCCGTCCCGCCGCAACAGCACTCGTTCGCGCGCCGCCCGGCGTCCGCATTCCAGCGCCCGAGCGCAAGAGCTCGCGAATCCCCAGAGATGGATCCCTGCGTGTGTGGGCGTAAGGGCATGCCAAGGACCGATTAATTTGCATGCACATATACACCCCGGTGACTGACTTGTGCTTAGTAGGGGTTGTGCCTGCCCAAAGCCATGCCAGCGTCTAGCTAGTATGCCTGCAACCCACAGGCGGGTGCCCGCGCACGGATGCTCCGATAGCCCGGTATCTGGGGACGTGTATTCCAAAGACCGGTCTACGCATACCGGCACGTTCTTAAGAATCCCGCATGCCGTTTGCGTACATCCGCAAGTAGTGGCGTCCAGGTGGCACGTTAGTCAACAGACCATTGTCTAGTGGACCTCTGTTTGTCTGTGTTTGTGTGCATCATGCCTGCGTGCGTCTATCCTCATACAGCCGCGTGCATGCCCGCATGCTCATACAGCCGTGAAGGTTGGCATGCTTATGCAAGCGTGCCCCGATCGACCGGTGTCCTCTGCGTGTGGCATGTCTTTACAACTCAGATCTCCTGTCGGCGGACTCACACGGTCATGACCGCGACGTCTGCCCCAACAAGGCCAGCCGAGCGCTCACAGCGCGTGGCCTGACTGGGATCTCTCCACGGCCCGGCCCCGAAGGGCCCCAATGGTCGGACTTCGAGCTCCTGAGCAGTTTGGTGCATCATGTGTTCTGCGTGTGCACCACTCAATGTGCCCAAACAGATAAACCCGCTGATACGGCGCCAGGGATGTGCATTTATACCGCGGGGGACGTTCGTGTTGGCAGCTGCTAGGGGATAGTCAACAGCTGTCTGACACACGCACAGGGCCAGCATGTGCATGCCGCAGATGCCGAATAGATTTGATTCCCTGTTTCAGAATTTATCGACTGGATCACACAGGAAAGTCAGCTCTGAAGTCCTTGGAGGACCTGAGAAGTGGACGCTTCTGGGAAATCGGAGCACAGAATGAAATCGGAGCACAGTATGCGCCATTTGAGCACGGAAATATTCCTTCAACCAAGAGCCATTTCTGGTGGGCCTTCGCAGCTGTGTGATGTTTGCTGTCTGTCGTGAATAAATGTGCTCCGGTTTGTGTTGGTTACATCCTCACAACTTTCACACGACCCACGTCTCCATGGTGGCACCCGAGCCACGCTAGCCAAATGTTCAGTTTTGACAACTCGATGATGAAGGTATGGACATACCGCACATACCAGGACCGAGCGATCAAACCGGCAGCGCACGGCGCGGAGGCTACACCGACATCAGTCGACAACCGCTCTCCCCATGGTTGAAACTTCCCATGGCCAGGGAAGGGGCCGTGGGCCTCTGGAGCTGCGCGTCAGCAGTGCGTTCTTTCCCATACGTGGGAAAGTACGCGCCGATCTCTTCTGGTGCCGTGCCGCACACCGACAAACCCCAACGAAGAACCATTTTCGTGAACACGACTTCCGTGAAACGATTCCTCCGGCAGTCATGACTCCGTAGTGGAGTCGTCGGGCTCCATTGAGGGACATCAGAAGTCTATCAGGCTCGTAAAAAGGTCAAGTACGCACATGCGGCCCACTTCCAGTAACACGCTGTCTCTCAGGTTTTGCGGGAGCGCACTCGTACAGGCCTTTCTCTAATCAGCGCAGTCGTATTACTTTTTCTTGTGACCAGCGAGGAGCTACCAAAAGAGAAAACTATCTACTTTTGTTTGTGATATTACCAGCGTCACGCACCATTCAAGTGAACTATGGATGCCATTGGTCAAACTTCCCACACGCGGTTAAGAGGGTCACCAACGGCCTTGTGTGGCCCGCTAGGTCCTTGAATCGGCAGACAAACGCATCCCCCACCTTACGGAGCCCGCAAATCCGTAGATGTAGGCGTTCGGTCTGTCCACGTGTGGTGTGTGATCACGCCGCGTAATGATTCGTGTGAAAACTGCCGAAAACCATACCACGTAACCCTCCGCCTACAATCGTCATTGGTCACATGGCTTCCTTTCAAGCGCCGTCTCAGCCCCTGGCCTCCCTGATCGACTGATCTGCGTCACGTGCAGGGGTCCGGTGACTGTCCAGTGACTTTCGCGCGGAGATGCGCGCGGCATGACAGATCGCTTCACATGGCATCGCCTCCCACTTCGCACGCCGCAGCTCCCAACAAGCGTCGTCACCACGCATGCCGTCCCAGACACAGTCCATCGACAATGGTGCCTGTTTATTAACAGAGAGTTGTGAACACGGGCGAGCCCAGCCAGACCAGTGCGGCCCGGCCGGTCGCCCGGACATCGAGCTCCAACACCGGCGACACGGGCGACGCGCGCACACCGACTATGTCGGGCGCGCCGCCGGCCGCCACACTCGCGCTCCGTCTACAGTAGCGGTGAAGTGATGTGTTCGAACCGTCCCGGCGCCGCGCGAGAGCGAGTCCAGCCCCAGCGCGAGGTCCCCACACGGACAGACAGGGCGCCGGTGCCGGTCGCTCATTTGTCGGCGGCCGGCGCGGTGGCGGCCGCGGCTGCAGCCGCGGCTGCGGCGGCGGCGGCGCCGGTCGTCTGGCCGGGGAAGGCCGGGTGCGAGGGCGCCGACATGCCGGGCACCGAGTACTGCGGCCGGAGCGCCGCCAGGTTCAGGCCGGCGTACTGCGCCTGCAGACCCGCCGGGAACTGCGGGGTCGCGTCGGCGCCTGCGCACAGAGGGCCGGAACCGAGGTCAGGTCACGCGACACGGCTGCGGGACGGTGGCCGAGCCGACGCACTGTCCGCACTCACAGCTGCGTGACAGCGTGCTGTGCCGGACGACCAGAAGCAGCAATGTCGTTAATTGGGAACTACACGAAGTGGTTTGTCCAAAATAAAAGAACTCGTAATGCATGCCAACTTAACATTCACTGGCCAGATTTAAGAAAAACCGGTCACACCGAGCGTCTTAGACACGGCAGCTAAGTCTAAGGAGTTGCCCACGGCGCGGCGGCGGTGAGCCACGACTCGCTGCAATGCGGTAGAAGCGGCCAGCAGGCCACGTTGTACGCGGTACCGAGCCAAACGCGCTGGCCGGTGTTGCGCCCCACATAGACACCTGACGATCCTGCTGGGGGCCCCGCTCGCCGCCTGCGAACGGCGGTAAACAACACGACCCCGGCCCCGGGACGAGGGGGGGGGGGGGACAGCACTGACCGGGGTGGGCGGCGGTGCCGGCTGCCAGCCGGGACAGAATGGAGCGCTCCGACATCTGCAGTCGCTGCGCCACGGGAGGGATCCGCGCCAGCGACGCCGGCAGCCGGGTTACATCAGACCGCATGTCCGTCAGCAGCTCCTCCAGCTGGTTCAGCACCTGGGAGGGCGGGCGAGGCGTCAGGAACCACAGGCCGCGGCGCATCCACACCGTTAGGCGGCGGATCTGACCGACACGGGCAAGCTCGACATTCAAAGGCAGGCAAAGCACAATGAAAAGCGTTTCAATTGATCTGAGACATGCATCAACAGCCTTATACCACAGAAGCAAGAGGAGCAAAACCCCAACAGCTCCGTGAGACCGCGCGCGCGTGCACACCGCATCCAGCTAAATCGAGACCTTATCAGTGCTTCGCGTCATCGTATAGCCCGGCCCAAAGGCCGCTAATCGGATGGGTTTTACAGCCGGATGCAAGAGACGTATCCATCACGGCGCCACCTGCCGCCGCAAAGCGTGCCTCCGTGCACAAGGCGCTCCCACCTTGTGCAGGACAGCGTTGGCGGGCTTGTTGCCGGCCAGGCTCTCCTTGCTGAGGTGCTGATGGCTCTCAGCCAGACACTCGACTTCGGCGAAGCGGGCGTTGAGCGCCATGGCCGGGTGGTTCGACTCCTGTGTGAGGTTGAGGTAGGCCGCCCGTCGCAGCTGCTCCTCTATCACCAGGGCCTGCTCCAGCAGCTTGAACCGCCGCGCCAGGAACTTGTTCTTGATCTCGAGGAAGTTGCCCTTGCCGACGTCCATCTTGAACGGCTCGTTGATGATGGCGAATCTGCTGACACGGGGTCCGGTCATTGGATTCGCGGCCTTCATGGGCGGCCAAGCGGCAGACGAAGGGCGACAAGGAAAGCGGGGCGAACGCAGCATGAACGGAAGCCGTAACGTAGTCATGTGAACGGACGACAGCGACACAGGAAAGGAAGAGCACAATCTCACCACATCGCGTGGTTTTCAAAAGTCGAGACTGGAGCGGCGGCAGTCTGGGTTCGGCCCCGTGCCGCGCCAGCCCCGCCCCGCCCCGGCCGGGCCCCAGCCGCCTCACCTCACGTCGTTCTGGATGTCCTGCCAGCGGCCGTAGCCGTGCACCACGATGCCGGCCAGCAGCCAGTAGTCGTGCCGGCGGTGCCAGATCTCGTACTCGCGGCCCGGCACCGCCGCCTTCTCCTCGTTCACCCACAGCGTGTGCAGCTCGGTGAAGCCGCCGTCGGCGATGTTGAACATGAACTTGTGCTTGGGTCGCGGCGGTGACTTCTTCTCCTGCCGGGGCACCGCACGGGTCAGAGCACGGGCGGATGCCGGGGGGGGGGGGGGGGGGGGGGGGGGGGGATAGCGGCAGGAGAGGCGAGCGCGCGGCGCGCCGGGATGGTCAATCCAAACATTCGTACGGTTACATCACAATCACCGATGACCACCACACATGCCACGCCAGCAGAACCGCTGGCAGAATGCTGGCCCCTAGAAAAATATTGGTGAGCTGTAAAGCGCGGTGCGCGCTGGCGTCAAGCCGAATCAGTGACGTCATAGCGCGAACTGGAACCTGGTGCCTATTTCCTTCGTGCATCAAACCAGCATGATGGTTGGAATTCCGTCAGAAATATGCTACAGCATAACAATAAACCAACAAACACATGAGAACAATGCTCTAATCATAAGTACTAGTTTTGACACAACCTACCTCTTTCTTGTCGTCTTTCACTACCTCCTTCTTTTCTTCCTTCTTTTCGTCGTCCTTTTTGGCGGCATCCTCGGGCTTCTTCTCCTCGGGCTCCTTAGCATCGGCGGAGTCCTTGGCGGCTGCCGGTTCCGCGGGCTCGGCCTTCACTCCGTCTCCCTGCTCGTTGGGCTTGCTCTCTGTGTCGGCCTCCTCCTTCTTCACGTCCGTCTCCATCGGCTCGGACTTCTCCGTGGTCTCCGCCTCCTCCTTGGTCGGCTTCGGCGCCTCCTCCGCCTTCTCTGGCGCCTCGTCAACCTTCTCTTTCTTGACTTCCTCCCCGGCGGGTGACGGCTCCTTGTCGGCTTCCTTGCTGGCCTCCTTGCTAACCTCCTTGTCTACCTTCTTCTCCTCCTCGGCTTCTTCCTTCTTTTCACCATTCTGAAATGACGAAACCGCATCTCAGCATCCTCGAGGGCAGTTCGTCACCGCGTGTGATCAGCAACAAGCACGCCATCGGTGCAGAGCACGCGTCACAGCGCGAGTGACAGCAATAAGCGTGCTAAAAAGCCGTACGACCGACTACAGCATTGTCCCATTCTCAAACAGTGGGCTTTCACGGTCACATCGCGACCGATCTGCGTGTGCCATCGCGTGAAGAAGGCGCGGCGGACCACGCCCGGCGCCCGTCACTGACCTGCGGGGGCGGGGCGGGGCTGGGGGCGGCGGACGTAGCCGGCGTGGCCGAGGCCGAGGTCTGCGCTGACGTCTGGTCGGAGGTGGCCGCCGAGGAGGCGCCGGTGGGCGGCAGCAGGACGGGCACCGCCGGGCGCCGCTCCATCAGCTCCGGCACCGAGAAGCTGCCGTTGACCGCCTCAAACTCCTGGACCTGCCGCCCAGACACGGAGACCAGGCGTGTCACGCCAGGGCGGTACAGACGACGGCAACGCGGTCAGGCTCAGCCACGGAGACCAGGCGTGTCACGCCAGGACGGTACAGACAACGGCAGCGCGGTCAGCTCTGGTCGGCGCCGGAGATGACGTCGTTAGGACACAGCGGCAGTACACCAGCCTCCCATCCTCTCCCTCATGTACGCATCCTTTCTCTCAAGGATCGCGGCACCACTGGCCTCAGACCCAGCACATTTGGTGGCTGCCGTCCGCCACACCAGGTCAGCACACCGCGCCCAGCACGCCCCGGCACCGCAGCACACCCGGGCCGCCGTCCCGCCGTACCTTCTTGCGGATGAGTGACATTATGCCGACACGCGTGAGCACGTGCTGGCGGCTGAGGCCCTCGCGCGGCACGCCGTCGGCGAACGTGTCGGCGTTGTCGGCGCCCGGCTCGCACAGGTGCCGCATGAAGAGCGACACGTAGGCGCGGAAGTTGCGCTCTGACTTGCCACGCAGGTCACGCACCAGCCTGGCGGAGCGGACGGACGGGTCAGGTCAGGTCAGGTCAGGTCCCGTCAGGTCAGGTCGGTCAGCCACAGCAGTGGTTCTCCGGACGAGGGGAGGCTGGCCGCAGCACAATTCCGTGTCAGGAGCGTGTTTTTCGAACATTTCGCCTCACTACGAACAATCTCCTCCTGTGCGACCCTGCTGACTGCTGTGCAGACCACTTAAGAGCCTGCTGGAACCGGCCAGCCACAAGGATGTGTTTTCACCACACTCGGCAGAACAACTGACGAAACCAGCAACATTAGCATATCTTTTCACATGGCCGGGCGCTGTTTGGTTGGTACAAGTCGCGCCACACGCATTACATCGTAACTCACCACTGCGAGTTGAAGGCGTCCTGTGGCGGCATACCCCAGCGCATGATGGCGTTCAGGAACGCCTTGCGCTGCCGGGCGTTGAACCCCAACACCTGGCGGGCACAGAGCAGGCATGTAACCACCACGCCCACAGCGCAGCGCCCCGTCAGGCGGCGTCAGCGGCCGGCCTCGCTCTCCACTGTCCGAGGCCGCCTTTGCAGCTGACATCGAGGCTTCGGAGCCAGCCGCCTAAAAGGCCTCGGGTGGCGGCGGCCACTGCTGTCCGGCGTGGGTCGGCGCGTCGCCGGTCCGTCCGGCCCGCGCAGGCGACCGGCCGTCCCATCCCGCCCGCCCTGTCCCAAGGCGCACGCCCTCGACGCTGACCACGCTCCCCTCGGCTCGAGACGCGCGCTTCCCACGGCCGCTGCCGCGTCAGCCGGCGCCGGGGCCGGGCGCGGCGCGACGACACTCACCTCGATGTTGCCGCCGACGCGGGCCAGCAGCGGCGGCAGCGGCCGGTCCCGGGCGTCGCCGCGGCGGCGGCGCCGGTCTGTCGAACGACCGTACCGCACGTCACGGCACAGCAATGTGCGCGAGCACATACACACATGGACGGGAAAGGCACGGTACGATGGACCGCCCGAGCGTACTACTACGTAGCCCAGCTATGCCCGCTGAGGTTATGACATCATTTGGGAGTGCGGAGAACCGTGATGGTGAGGCAAATGGCGCGGCAACTAGCAGATAAACTATGACATAACGACGACGTGACGACATCACCTATGACACAGTGCATGCGACAGATCGTCAGCAAACTGAGCCTCCTCCCCCTCTCCCACGAGCCAGCAAGCGCGGCGGGGGTGCCGGACAGTGCGCCGCCACACGCCGCCACCCACCGTCGTCCAGGTCAGCGTCGCTGTCCTGATCGTCGGTCGGCACCGAGAAGTCAGAGTTGTAGTCGGACGGGTTCTCGCCCTGCCAGTTGCCGTCCTCCCTGCCGTCGTTCGTGTCGTTGTAGTTGACCTGAGGGCAGGCGTCAGGTGAGGTCAGATGGGGTGAGGGACCAGAGGCATGCCTGAGCCACCGCCAGCTGCGCAGCACCGGACAACAGACGCCCTCCTGCAATATCACCTACTCCACACACCTCCAGGCGCTTTCACACACACCTTCCACACACCTCACCCTCTTCCCAACACTTGCCACCCTCAGTTAACGCAAGGGTCCAGCAACCTAACTTTGACACATCCCGCGCTGGAGAACATGACCGGTTAACTCAACTAAACAATGACGAGCATGCTGAAGCGGCCCGGAGTCCGGGCGCACGCTATGCCGGCGTGTCGCTGACTCCTCCAGACTCTGCGAGCCCGCCGCCGGCGCGGACGCACCTGTTTGCGGACGCGCTTGCCCTTCCCGAGCGTGCGCGCCAGGTCCTCCTGCTGCTGCTCGTAGTGGTGGCGCAGCAGCTTCTCCCAGTACTGCGGGTCGGTGTTGTCCGCCTCCTGCTTGATCACCTCCAGGTCCTCCTCCTCCTCGGCGCCCTCCTTGGTGGCGTAGGTGGCCACCTGACGGCGCGGCGCCGACGGTCAGCGGCGGCCACCACGCCCCGAGCGGGCCACACGGCACACCGGCCCCGACCGACACGGCCAGGCCACGAGACGGCATGGACTGAAGGCGGCCATCTTACGCTGCAGCGTTTGGCCAAGAAATTCGTCCCGCTTGCGCGTTTGAAACAGAAAAACAAAGGTCGAAACATAACGAGAAAGCTGCATCCTTGTAGGCCATTGGAACATCCTAATCGCATGCAGCAAGCGACTAGTTTTGAACGCACTGATTTCGCACACACAGCCTCCAATCCCACCCTCGGTAAGAGGAGGTACAAAGAGTTCCTGCAAGGGTGAGGGCGAGCGGACCGCGCCGGTGAGCGCGCGGCGGCATCATCACCTTGAAGCTGGAGAGGTACTCGTTGCTCCACTCGGCCTTCTCCTCGATGCCGGCCTGGGAGCGGTCAAGCAGGGCGCCCACGGCCGCGTCGTCGTAGTGGATCTCGTTCTCAGGCCCGTCGGGGTTGTTCTCGTCCTCCTTGAAGAGCTCCTCAGTGCCGAACTTGAGGATGTCGTCCAGGTCCTTCTTGCTGAGGTTGGTGCCCTTGCCACCCATGCCGGGGCGCACCACCAGGTGGGTCAGCATCATCTTCTTCTTGGCCACCTGGGTGACCCGCTCCTCCACAGAGTTGCGCGTGACGAAGCGGTAGATCATCACCTGAAGCCACAAGTTCGGCGTCAACGATCCACCACAGCAGCCCGCTCATACGCAGCTGACTCTGTCTTATACCACCAACCCGCCCATCATCAAAATCAGACCAGTCCCTGGGCTGCACACGACGGCTTGTGCCACCGACTTCTGAACAACGTCACGCCTCTGGCGGACACAATAGCGCACCGTACGCACCTTCAACTAAGAGACCTCCCGCCAATATCCCCCCCCCCCCCCTCCCCCACGTAGCAGGCCCGCTGATCTGCAGCTGGCGGGCAGCGCCGCCGGCCGGCCGGGAGCCCGCACCTTGCTGGTCTGGCCGATCCTGTGGGCGCGCGAGAACGCCTGGATGTCGTTGTGCGGGTTCCAGTCGCTGTCGTAGATGATGACGGTGTCGGCCGTGGCCAGGTTGATGCCCAGACCGCCCGCCCTGCCGACACACAACGGTCAGATGATGGACCGCGACTCGCTGCCAGACGCGTCAGTCATTCTCGCAGGCAGCTCGCGGCGTGCCATCGCGCCACTCGGCGCTGAACCACTACGTCCCTCAGTGCCCGGTGCGCGAACGACACCAACGGACCGCGTTAACGAGTTCCAAACGCCTAACCAATATTAACCAACACTATAAGAAGACCAGACAAATGAAGGCTGTCCAGAAGCGACCCCACCGGCCTCCAGCCCGGCGGACACGCATCTCTGCGTCCGTCGTCTACCGGAACGGAACCGCAGCGAGGCATCGGCGCTGTCCCCACCACCCCACCACGTCCGGACGGCATCCGAGTGTCGATAGCGGTCCTCCCTCTCTCCCTCCCCGCCGCCCGCACCTGGTCGACAGCGGTCCTCCCTCTCTCCCTCCCCGCCGCCCGCGCCTGGTCGACAGCGGTCCTCCCTCCCTCCCTCCCCGCCGCCCGCGCCTGGTCGACAGCGGTCGTCCTTCCTCCCTCCCCGCCGCCGTCACCTGGTCGACAGCAGGAAGACGAAGGCCTGCGCGCCCTGCGCGTTGAAGCGGTCGATGGCGTCCTGCCGCAGCGCGCCCGTGATGCCGCCGTCGATGCGCTCGTACTTGTAGCCCATGCCCTCGCAGAAGTCCTCCAGGATGTCCAGCATCTTGGTCATCTGCGAGAAGATCAGCACCCTGCCGGCCGGAAAAGGGCGCGTCACACCGGCGCGGTCACTTTCAGCCCGCCAGCCGCGCCGCCGCGACAGGTGAGCACCCGCCACCCGCTACGCATGATTCCCGTCAGCGACACCACCGCTAGCAATCATACAGAGTGTTGGCGCCACCACGAGCCGCCCTGCCTCCTGGCAGTGTGGACGGCCACGAGACGCCCACGCGCCCGGCTATGTTCCCTGTCGACTGAGCGTGCCAGCGGCCGCGTCAGCTGCCGCCGGCGCTTCTGACCTGTGGCCATCGTTTTTCAGCTTCTCCAGCATCTTGGAGAGCAGGACGAGCTTGCCGCTGGACTTGGTGACGGCGTCCGTCTCGTACATGCCGTTGGCCAGCTTGGGCGCCTCGTTGGAGGCTACGCTGAACAGGTACGGGTGGTTGCAGCACTTCTTCAGCTCCATCATCACGTTCAGCAGCGACATCTACGAGGGCGGCATATTCCTTTACAGACTGGTGACCAGTTGTATACCGGGTAAACTAGAGACCAGAGATCACCTTAGATCTAAATCACTGTGTCCTGTGTATCGTCATACAGTGCTCTCTGCTTTGCCCCTCGAGTAACAAGTGCTCAATTCATCCGCCGACACCTTTTGAGGTAGCATATCAGGAATTCCAGCTATGCTAGAAAGTAGGACACAACATATGAACCGGTGACATCCAGCTAAATGGATTACATAGCCATCTCACAACAGTGGCCACATTGGAGAAATAGGCCACACACATGTCCAGCCGGTACAGCTATACGGCGGATCAGGGCGACGGCCGCGCCCCGCGGGTGCCCCGAGGAGTGCCCAGATGACCCGAGCTGACCTGCTGACCGCCCGACTTCGAGTTCAGAGCCTCGAAGTTGCGGGTCAGGATGTACTTGTAGTACTTCTTCTGCATGGCCGACAGCTCCACACGCACGATGAACTCCGACTTGGACGGCATGTTCTGAGGACGGATTTGAACATCAGGTAAGCCAGTGAAACCAATAGCACGAATACACGAAAGTGAAGAACAAATGGTCACCATTTAGACGGGAGCACATACGAGCCGTTCTGCACAAAAACATCGCACGCGGCGTACAACACGTGGCCACAATGTAACTTCACCCAAGTGGCCCGGCACACACCTATCAGCTGCCGCAGCCGCGGCCGCCGCCGGGCGCCGTAACACGCCCCACCGGCACGTGGCGCCGCACCACCGGCCGGCCGGGGAGCTGCGCCACTCACCTTGAGCACGTCGGCCTTCAAGCGGCGCAGCATGTGCGGACCCAGCATCTCGTGCAGCTTCTTGATCTGCTCCTCCTTGGCGATGTCGGCGAACTCGTTCTGGAAGGCCAGCAGGTCCTGGAACTTCTCTGGACATAGGAAGTTGAGCAGGTGGAACAGCTCCTCCAGGTTGTTCTGCAGAGGCGTACCCGTCAGTAGCAGCTTGTAGGCTAGCTTGTAGCCAGCCAGGATCTTGAAGAACTGAAAAAGATCGGTAGAGCGTGTCATTAGTGGTCATCAGCCACCGTACCATGACCGGCGGACAGACCCCAGTTCGGGTGGGCTGCACCCCACTTCACGCCACCGTCCCGTACCATCACGACGCCCCGCCCTCCGGGCCGGCCTCGCCCGCGCCCGGCACCAGCGCCCTCACCTTGGACTGGTTGTTCTTCAGCCGGTGAGCCTCGTCCACGACCAGCACCTCCCAGTCGATGCTGCCCAGGCACGCGTTGTCGATCGAGATCAGCTCGTACGACGTCAGCAGCACGTGGAACTTGATGTTGTTGGTGCGCACGCGCGACGCCTTGCCCCCGCCGCGCGTGGCGCCCTCCTCGAAGCTGAGCTCGTGCTCGCGGATGGTGACGCGCGCGTCCTTGTCGCCCACGTAGGTCACCACGTAAAACTCCGGCGCCCAGGTCTCGAACTCCCGCTCCCAGTTCACCAGCGTGCTGAGCGGCACGGCGATCAGGAACGGGCCCTTGGAGTGGCCCTCCTTGTAGAGCGAGTACAGGAAGACGATCGTCTGAATAGTCTTGCCCAGGCCCATCTCGTCGGCCAGGATGGTGTCCGTGCCGTTGCCCCAGGAAAAGCGCAGCCAGTTGAGGCCCTCCATCTGGTAGTCGTGCAGCGTCATCTTGGTGCACTCCAGGTACTCTGGCTGCTTGTCCCAGCGCCGGTTGGTGTCGCGCATGGGCCGCTCCGGCGGCAGCGTGTACCGCCTGGCGGGGGCAGGCGCCGGGGCGTCAGCACGGAGCAGCCGGCCAGCCCCACCCCATCACACGTGACGTCATCACACACGAGAACATGGCACACGCGAAAACAAGGCGCACACGCACCGGCGGGTAGCAAACATCGGCGACTGGTCTACGGCTCAGACACACGAAGAGCAATCGCGGAGGACAACACCAGCACGCGTCTCAGAACCCTGCCGTGAGACGTTGTCCGTCAGCAACAGCAGTCACAGCGCCCCGGCCGTGTTCCGCCGGCGCGGCGGGCCCGCGTACCTCTTGCGTCCGTCCTCGTCCTCGTCGGCGTCCCGGTGCTTGCTGCGCTTGCCCTTCTTCTTGCCCTTCTTGGAGGAGGGCTCGCCGGACATGACGGCGTGCAGGTCCTGTCGGCGGGGCGCGACGGTGCGGTCAGCGCCACCGATGGACCGCACGGAAGGCGCCGGTCTCGCTCTGGGGCACGGCTGAGCTATCGCAGCGCACAGGACGCGGCGCGGCACAGCCAGACGTGCGGCGCTGAGGCCACCGCCGGCAGCACTACATACGCGTACATTAGAGGAAACCGACGGACAACCGCACCCAGTTAGCAGACGACTGAAGCTTGGTTTGATGCTGGTCACCAGCAGTCCCCAAACACGAGCCGAGCATGTTCGGAAAACGATAACCAACTCATTGTTCTCTTTTCAAGTTTCTCCTTTTGAAAATGCAATATCGGAGACCCCTGCAACCTAGTTCCATCACATGGCATGCGCCCTTCAAGACGCAATAACAAACCAACACAAAACCAACAATAGCGGTTATTTTCACCTCTCGTGACAATTTTCCGCCGGCTTTCCCACCCGTGCGTCTACGCGTATTGGGCCGGCGAGTCGCGGCCGCTCTCCCCGCCCGGCCTCACGTTATATGCGTCGATCTCGTCGCGTAGTCCGGTGATGTCGGCGTCCTCGTTCTCCCAGGTGGCGTACTCGTACCCGAGGTCCTTCCACTTGACCAGGTACTGGACGGCGCCGTGGCGGATGGTGCGGTAGTTGAGCACGCGGTGGATCACCAGCCACTCGGGACGCACGCCGTTCCTGAGAACGGGCGGGGTGGAGAGGGGGGAGGGGGAGGGGGAGATCAGACGGGCCGCCACCGGGGACTCGGCTCCAGCCACCAGCTACGCCCCGGCACCCACGCCAAACTGTGCAATGTCCGTCCCGGGCGGAGGCTAGCAGGACGCACTGTGACCCCAGCGCGGCGTTAACACCCCGACCCCGGACGGCCCGTGAGCGGGGCACACGTCCCTCGCGCCACTCCCATTCCGTGTAAAGAGACCGCGGCGCGCGGCGCAAGTCCTGCCGCCGCAGGTGTGCGCCTCTCCTCTCCAAGCGGCGGCGGCGGCGGCGGGCCGGCGACGGACCTGTAGAAGCGCTCCTCCAGGTGCTGCGGGTCGTCCTGCACGTGCTTCTGCCGGTAGTGCTCCGTGTGCTCGGCGTCCTCGAACGTCGGCGGCTCCTCCATGTCGTACTTGCGCATGTAGAAGCGCAGCAGGCTGGCGTGGTAAATGTCCAGCTGCAGCGGGGAACGAGCGGCGTCACACGGCGTGACGGTGGCGGCTGGTCCGAGACCTCCCGGCCATGAGCTCAGTCAGCACCGAACACACGGCGCCCCGTGCCACGGCTAACTCGGCCAACAACGCGCATTACACGCGTTCGGGACAATCTCGTGGCTACGAAGAGCCACATGTCTTCCACTTAACAACACAAAAACACAGATTATACAATTCGTCGCTTAACATGTCATTTAAAAGAATGCTTGAAATTGACGACAACCAAGATCTTGATAGTGTCAGGAGGCCCACATCAGTCGTGCCGCCGGTTCCTGGCGCCAGCCCACCTGGAGCTCGGAGACCCACTCGCAGTGCCAGTAGCTCTGCTCGTGGTACTTGACGAAGTATTCGCGCTGCCGGGGCGGCTTCTTCCTGGGCGAGGCGGCGGCGGCCGGGTCGGCCGGCTTCTCCTCGGGTGGCTCCACCCAGCGCCATGTGAGGATCTTCTGCACCTTGCCGGCCAGCGGCTCGCACTGTCGGCGCAGCGGGGCAGCTGTCAGCCGACGCTCACACGGCGGCAGACGGGCAGAGGGAGCGGTTCACCACCGCACCCCGGCCGCCGCCCGCGGACGGGCCGTCAGCGGGGCGGCCGTCAGCCGACGCTCACGCGGCGGCAGACGGGCGGCGGGAGCGGCTCACCACCGCACCTCGGCCGTCGTCCGCAGACGGGCGGAGGGAGCGGTTCACCACCGCACCTCGGCCGTCGCCAGCGGGCGGGCCGTCAGCGGGGCGGCCGTCAGCCGACGCTCACGCGGCGGCAGACGGGCGGAGGGAGCGGCTCACCACCGCACCCCAGCCGTCGCCCGCAGACGGGCGGAGGGAGCGGCTCACCACCGCACCCCAGCCGTCGCCCGCGGACGGGCCGTCAGCGGGGCGGCCCTCAGCCGACGCTCACGCGGCGGCAGACGGGCGGAGGGAGCGGCTCACCACCGCACCCCAGCCGTCGCCCGCGGACGGGCCGTCAGCGGCCAGCCCGGCCACACCCCCAGGGTAGCCCAACATGCGCTATTCAGATGCTATGATGCGATGCGATTAGATACTACGGTACGCTTCCTCATCGCCATCCTGTGCAGGTGGTGATGAGGGAGCCGCCGGCCGCGTTCACCCGTATCTTCTAACACGACACCGGCCACGCGTTCCGCCCTAACGTTTGAGCGACGGCGCCGGGCTCAGTTCGTCTCGATTGAGATTGAGACCGAGACCGAGACCGAGACCGAGACCGAGACCGAGACCGTGGCCGAGGCCGAGACCGAGACCGAGAACGAGCCCGAGTCCGCCGGCGGGCGCCGCCTGACTCACCGAGCAGCGCGGGCAGCGCCAGTCGCCGTCCGGGATCTCCTTGAGCGGCGGGTTGAGACAGTGTGTGTGGTAGGCGGCCGGACACATGTCACAGCACAGCAGCTCCCCGCCGTCCTTGCACGTGCTGAAACAGTGCGCAGGGAGTGGACAGAGGCGCCACGCTGACGGTGGTGGGCCACCAGCCGGCCGCCGCTGCGCCCGTCTCTGCAGACTTCGGGCAGAACACTGGACGCACCACGCAGCGGGTGACGAGCGGTAATACAGCAGACACGTCTCACATGCTGCACACAAACACAACGACTGGCGATTCGCCATGTAATCATCACTATAACAAAAATGCTTGCGGCTTATAGGCCTGCCGACTGCCCCGGTTATTCGGCACTCAAACACATCCAAAACGTGCTGCAGTCCACCCCGTCCAGCCGTGAGCGAGTGTCGGCCGGCCGTACCGACAGAACTCCTGGTGCTCGTCGTCCGACTGTCGGTCGGGCCGCTCCGGGGGCCCGTCGCGCTCGCACGTGGGGCACATCCACTTGCCCTCGGGCGGCTCCTCCAGCTCGGGCTCCAGGCACACCAAGTGGTACGCCTTGGGGCACGTGTCGCAGAGGATGATCTCGCCGCCCTGCTGGCACACCTGCGGGCGGCGGACGCCGGTGTCAGGCGGTGTCAGGCGGCGCGCCCGACCGAGCCGCGCGCGTGGGACATGGCCGGGAGCAGAGCCCGGGGCGCCCAGCCTCATCCGCGGCGCCACTGGTCGGTCACCAGAGTGGGATCGTGGTATGGAGTGCAAACACGCGCCATATGTCGCACAATGGCGATCGCTTTCGCGGCTAGCACCATGGATATGGTCGAAACAGCCGGACTTCAAGCTTAGAAATGGTTACAGGCCTACATGAAGACAAATGCACGTGAGCACATGCACGGGCCTCTCACCTCGCAGAAGTCCTGGTGGTCTGTCTCGTAGCCCTCCTCGTCACGACCCGGCTTCTTGCTCTTGCGCTTCTTCTTGTTGCCGATCTTGGTCTTGGCCTTGCGGCGCGGTACGTCGTTATCGTTGGAGTTCTTGCTGACCTCCTCGGCCTCGGCCAGCATCTGCTCGAACTCGGCGTCCGAGTCCTTGCCGCCCTCGGAGTCCTCGTCCTGCCGTCCGGACGCGCTCCGGTCAGCGCGGCCGTGCGGACACGCCCCCCCCCCCCTCCCCCCGGTCGGCGCGGCCGTCCGGACACACGCGTGCCCGCCGACTTCGCGCGACACTACGCGACAACACACCGCAGCACGGGACCAATCGACACTTCTCCACGGTCGAGGGCGCCGACCAGAGCAGGGGCCATGACGGACGACGGTGCGTGGTGTGCCGCGGGCACTGACAACCGTCCACCACTGCCAGGACGGCTGATACTTAGACGGTCGTTGTCTGCACATGAACCTGACGGACACTGGCAATTCAGCATTCCGGGAGGCGACGCAGGAAGGCAGACCTCAACATCTAATCATGAGCAGCACATGGACCAGAAAGCAACATACAGAGTCAGCAAACATCACCGGACGTGGCCTCTCACCGAGGAGCCCTTCTTCCGTTTGCCCAACTTGATCTTGAGCGTGGGAACGCGGCCCTTTTTGGCTGAGCCGCCAGCCTTCGAGCGTCTGGAGCGCTTCTTCTTGGCCGAGTCGTCGTCATCCTCGAACTCGTACTCGTCTTCATCCGCCGGCTACGGCAAAACAAAACGAATAGGATAACTGTTACAGTATGAAATAATCACGGCCAAAACCTGGGCTGTAGTTTTGTACTCAGCTATGGCAGGGAGCCAAGCGACTTTCGGAAGTAAGTTAAATCTGGGGAGAAATCAGACCGTTGGCTGTTGTGGGGTAGGTTTCGTCTTCCTCACTATTCAGACCCCTCCCCCCCCCCCCCCCGCCACACCACACTTCGTGAAATCGCGCCCAGGACAAGATTCTGTTTAGAAGTTCAATGACCGTAAAAACATGGTGTGACCGAACTACGCCGGAAGTTACTGACTTGAACTTATATGGGCAAGGGCAGCAGCAGGTGTATGTGAGACAAATGACTAGGAAACAATGCCGGGTGCACTATGCCCACAGGAACACGAAGGCGCCACCTGCAGCCACCTCGCCTGCCGACGTCACCGCCTGGCGTCAGGCTGACGCTGCAGGCTTCACCCAATCACATCAGTACGAGGACTGCCCCCGACACGACCGCCACTCACGGCTTCCTGCTTCTTCTTGGTGCCCCTGCTGCGCGCCGACGAGCGGACCACCTCCGGCTCCTGCTCGACGTCGTAGTCCTGGTCCTGCTCGGGCTCCTCCTCCTGCGCCTGCTCCTGGTCGGCCTCGGGCTCCGAGTCGGGCTCGGCCGGCGAGGCGGCTGCCGACTCGGCCGGCTGCGAGGCGGTGAACTCCCGCCACTTGGCCGCCACCAGCATCATCTGCTTCGACATGGGCACCTGCAGCGCGGCAGAGTGGCCCGTCAGCGGCTGCAGCCTCGCAGGCGGGCAGGCTGAGCGCGGCGAAACGCTGGCACCGCGTCATGGGAAACACGGTAGCCAACGTCTCGCCTGCGTGCCAGTTGATATTTCTGCTATCTCCGCGTGCTTAAGACAATGCTACATATGATGATAGCAGTGATGGGTAAATGCCACATTCTACTACCTGGCGCAAAAAGCAGTTACTGCAAGTCACAGAATGTCGTCCTGCATGCTGGAGTTTACCTGTGGAATTACTTCCACTCTGTCAAACAATTGGGGACCAAAATTATTTCCATCAACAGGGTATGACCAGACAGGTTATAGGTTATAATTCACTGGAATGGTTGAAAAAAGCTTACAGACAATCAAGCACTTGCATAGTTGTCTGGGGCAAAGCACACACACACAAACTAATGACATCAGGACATAAGCCAGCTTTCTGAGCAGCAGCAGCTCAGCTCACGCCTCAGCAGCTCGACTCCCAGCAAAGTGAGGGGTAGCGCGGAGCACACGGCGGTCTGTCCGAACCCCGGGCAGGGCCCCCTCTCCTGGGACAGCCTGCACTGACCCTGGGGTTCTCCTTGGTGATGAGCGGCCTGATGTGCTGCTGGTAGGCCTTGTACGTGGTGAGCGTCTGGTAGTCCTCGTCCGAATACTCGAGCTCCACGTTGGTCAGGCCGAACGTCTCGCACACCTGGCGCGGGACGCGGATCGTCAGACGCCGCCGCCGACGCGCCTCCGACCAGCCGACGGCCGTCACACATGGCTGGATTGGGCAACACATCTTACCCAAGGACAGCTGTCTGGTGCGGCATGGACCACAGACGAACAGGGCGGCACGTGGCCGTTCACACGATCACAGCCCCTGCCTCTGGTCCCTTCTCAGTGCTCCTGCTGCCTGCATGCCTGCTGCATTAGTGGGACTGCAGACATCAGGAGCACTAGGACGTGGGCCGTTTCAGCCATGTCGCCTCACCTCTGCTGAGGTGGGCATGTTGCTGGCCTCTGAGGTCTGCTCCCTCAGTGGCTTGGCGGCCGCCGACGGTCCCCGCGACCTGCGTGCCTTGGATGTCTCGGCAGCCTCCGAGTCATTGTCCTCTTCGCTCTCCTGGTGGGCACAGACACGGTGAGAAGGGGCACACAAGATCTGATCAAAAGCACCCACAACAGATCATCAGTGGTTCAGGTTGTTACTCAGAGCAGTGTCCACAAGGTGAAATACTTACATCGCTGTCAGCCTTCCTCCGCTTCTTCTTCTTCTTACTTTTCTTGTCATCTCTAGCTTTCCTTTTCTTGCCTTTTTTGCGCTTCTTACCAGCAGGTTCAAAATTGTCCTCTTCCTCTTCCTGAGTAAAAAGAAGTGCCAAAGTCTGTCACCCAAAGGCTGCAACAACCACATTTCTTTGGCTGCATGTTTTAGCAACCAGCCAGCTGCATAAAGCAACATTCAAATTGGATGTGCAAGCCCACCATAGGCACACCATACAGCACAGCAACATGACATAACAAGACACCCAATGATTGCTGACCTGTAGAGCTTCAGAGTCAGCAGCCTGCTCCTCCCCAACTGCATCCTCTTCCTCTCCAACATCACCATCTGAAATGAGTAACAGATATGAAGACCAGCTGTGTTCTGCTTAGTTAACAAAAAACAATTATCAAAACCAGATGACTCAATCATGAGCAGGTATGAGGATAAAGCCAGCTTCACTATTCCAAAGGCCCAGTTTCATCCAACAGCCTGGGGTTTGGCTTTGGCTGCACCTGTGGAGGTCCTTAACCAAGGATAACCCAAATGCTAACTGCTGGCAATTTAGAGCAAACTGAGGTATTCATCCAAACTTTGCTGTTTTTTTTATTTCAGGGCTAATGAAAAGGAGCTACCTGCATCCTCTGACGGCTCCAGATGCAGACAGCATCTTGAGCTCTCACAGATCACAGATGTGATCCCTCAGGTTTCTGACATTTAGCATAGGGTTTAATCAGATTATGCATTAGTGACAGTAAGATGACACTAAACCTCCCAACAATTTTAGCAACATGTAGCCTCACATGAGTTAGCAGAGTCTGAGCAGAGAAAATGGCTAAACCAAACCTAAAAATAATTGAACAGGTTTCTACTCACACCTTGCCCATGATGAATGGAAACTAAACCCCAAGATTTTGGTTTCCTCTACTTCTGGTGGAGTTGACAGGAGGGTGGAAGTGGGAGAGGATCATCATGCAACATATTAACTTTTTCATGCTGATCTCTTCACTGCATGCCTTTCTTGAGACTGATCATGAGCATGCTTTGGCTGGAAGATTGTGCATAAAGTTTTGAAGTGGGGGAGGTGCAGGCCCCTACAAATGATACATCATTATAACCATGGCCATGGTCCATGCATCCAGTTCATCACATGATGAAATCAAGGGTGCAGTATCCTATTCTGTTGGGGGAGGGGGGGGGGGGGCAGGGAGCTCCAGTCAACTCTGAGGGGGGTGAGGGGTCAACCAGTTTCTTGATGTATTTTGAGGATTGGCTATTATTTCTTCACCATTCAGCCCTCCTCCCCCCAGCTCACTTCCCACCATATACTACTGGATAGCATTGCTTTACCTCACATGGGCATCATCACTGAAAGGTTCCCCGGAGAAGCTATATCCATGTTACGATAAATGGATAAAGCACTATTTGCCAACCCTTCAGTAAATCTAGCATAGGGAGTTCAAAGATCAGTGGGACAAAACACCCATGAACCATTTCCGGCTTATGAATTGGACTGTCCATCCCACCCACCCCGCCGGCTGCACGCGGGACCGGCGCTACCGGCTCCCGCGCCCCGTTTCCAGCGCGCGCCGCCGCGAATTGATGACGTCACATCCCAGCTGAGCTGAGACAACGACCCCGCTTCTCAAAAAGTGGCTTGTGACACGACCCCGCATTAATCTCGATCAATACGGAAGCTACAGTTTCAGGTACAGAGTGCCTTCAAACTTGAAAAAACGATTTAAAAAATGTCCTACAAACGCCTCATACAAGAAATTACCGCTTAAACCAAAACAAAAACAACACGCTATCTAAGGCCCTTCCCAATAAAATACGTCCATGTTACCTGCCGCGAGCTTGCTGTCTTCCGTATCTGAAGCCATGCTGCACCTCCTTAAGCTCTCGATGGGTAAAAAGAATACCAACTAACTTCAACTATCACACGTGGGAAAAGCCGGCAAGTTCAATCACCGAATACGCGGAGGTGCTCCCCCTGCCCACTCTGACCCGCGACTGCACCGGTGCAGCCTCTCGCTTCTCATTGGTCCCCTGTCGGGCACATAGCGCTGGCCGATGACGTCATCGGACAAACCGTACACTACGGTTTTCCATGATTCTTCTAGATTTTTCAACGGAGAAAACAATAAAGCGCGTAACAAAGCGCGTTGCATACAGTGGCACAGGCAAGGGAGCACAGGGGGCACGCACCCCCTAAGGCGCCGAGGGACCCTTTGGGCACCTCGGAACCTATGATTAATGACTCGAAAGGCTGGCCGGAGGTCGTGTTCAGGGGCCGGCCCGCAGGGCCGGGCACTTCAATGCCGTCCACAGGGCCCTACGCGCTGATCAGAGCCCCGTGAGTCGATAAGGGCCTCTGTGTTGGTCAGGCACCACCAATAACAGCTGGTATGGGCCTGAGGGCTCTCCCCAAGCAGGGATAAATCAGGAGCCAGCGATTTACATTGGTCGGGGCCCCAGTCTCTGGCAGGACCCTGCAGCGCCTTACAGGAGACCCAGTGCTGACAAGGGGCCCAAGGGGTCCGTCCTCGCGCCGGCGGCCCCCAGAATCTTATCCCTGTTACTGCATCCTCTCCTGGCCCCACGGTCGCGTTCCTCGCACGGCTCGCCAGGGGCAGGAGGGGAAAGCGAGCGCCTTTAAGCGGCGCGCACCAAATAACGCAAACATTAACAAGCTTGGACATAGGTGTTCTCTGACACCTCACATATGTGCCAATTGTTGAACCACCTACGGCGATCAGGTATGTCGCGTCAATGCGGATTTCTGCCGTCGATCTGGGACCAACTACACGAGTCAGGAGGACCAATGCGGTATGATGCATCCCTCCCCTAAACCAATGTAACATGGACAGCGCCGTTGATTTACTTCATGCAATCGTCTAAGGCATGACTTTTTAGTTTGTTGGCTATAAAATTCAGCTGGAATTTACTCCGCGATGGCGTCCGGCTTTTGTTCTAGTTATGGAAGAAAAAAGGAAACAAATGTTAATGAAAATATACCCTCCGTAACACATGGACATATCCAGCACATTTTTAGTGGGGGGAGGGGCTTTTTACCATCAAGAGGTCCTTTACCAACCCTGCCCCCCCCCCCCCATTGCCAAGGTTCTGGCCGCGCGCCTAATACCATAAACGCGTAGTTCTGCATGACATCGAATTTGTCCGGCGTGTTTATTTGCGTTGTAAGACCTTTCGCCAGCCGCCAAAAGAAGTTGCGCGTTTACAGCATTGGACCATGACTTTGTTTCACGTATATGCACACAACTTTCGCCACACATTTGCTGCAACAGGTCCCAATTTGTCGCCTTTGGAGGCTCCGTAGACATGCCATGACCATATCCGACTATACAGGACATGGGTGCGCGAACAAATGAGGGCAGTTCCTCTCCGCCGAGCATTTAGCATGGGCTTGACTGGAAAGAAATTCAAATTTAGTCGAGGTTATCTGGATTGTCCTCAAAGCCCAGGAACGTGACATTCTGCCCCCCCCCCCTTGAGCCATTGCATTGGCGGGAGCCATGACCCTGTTGGCCCTCCGTGAGATGTCCGTGGGAGGAACATAGTCTTTCGCACGGCAGACTCAGCAGGCCTTCACTCGCAAGCATCGACTTATTTAAGACCTTCCACTTGCACAGCTCTTTTCACCATACGAGTCACCACGAACTGGCCCGACGTGCACCAGCGACGTTGCGTCCCCTCTTCCTTCTGCCGCAACTGGCCAGGCCCTACGCCATCCAGGGACCTAGCGCCGCCACGTGAAGTAGGGGACGAAAGCAACCAGCGCTAAAATGCCTGCCATTGGTCTGGACAGCCATCTCAAAACGGTAAACATGGATCAGTTCCAAGCAACTGCCAAACAGTCCAGGCTGCCAAAGGCTGCCGGGCATGTAATTTTCACGGAACCATTGGGGCGACACACTAGGATAATTCTTTTGGCTCCAGCGCCCGTGACCACACCTTCAGATTAAAAACAGTGGCGAAGAGAGGGGCTCGAGCTACCAATCAGAGCACCACCAGACAGAGCCAGTTAGGATTTCACGCGTGATATAGCTTATGAGGTCTGTCTGGCCCGTTTCGATGGCTCAGTTGGATAGAACGTCTGCCTCCCGATTCATCCACCCGTGGCGGGGTGGGTTCGAGTCGCTTTAGATGCCCGGTATTTGCACTTGACGGGCATGGCCTGCGGCCGGTGGCAGCGGCCGCGATAAAGATCCAATGACTTGAAAGGGCATGACGGACCGTGCCGAGCATTGCGACACGTTAAGTTTTCGCCACCAAATCCCGCCGTTGACCTGGAGTTGCGCGATCGGATGGTAGCCGCCAAGGCTCGCTGCACTGCTTCCGTGAGCTATGATCCAGAAATATGTCCACTCAGAAGGTTCAAATTGGATCTTCTAAAAAAGTCGTGTTTTCCACAAGGTACACACCGAGAACCCAATGGGAACCCAAATTTATACACAGCCACAGTACGTGATGCAACACATTTTCAACAAAAAACAAACACGCATACACATATTTCTAGAATAGAACAAACAGTCGGCTGAGCACGCTGACAATGGCATCTCATACGCCAAGTAGATCAGAACCAGCAAAACACAGTACGAAAGATCACTGCCGTTGGAAGCAAGTTTTCCAATACGAATGCTACACTTTAAAGCACGGCACAAACGTCCAATCCTTCGGCTAGCCGCCTGTAATCCGTCACTCGACCGCCACAACACCGGCAAGGCCGCTAACACAGCCGGCAGCCCGCAACTCGACCGGTGTCCCGATGGCGGGCGGCGAGCCGCGCTGTCGGCCGCCGGCGCTCCACTGCAGGCGCCCCAGGTACCGGGCGGCGGGCCGCGCTGCCGGCCGTCGGTGCTCCACTGCAGGCGCCCCAGGTACCGGGCGGCGGGCCGCGCTGCCGGCCGTCGGTGCTCCACTGCAGGCGCCCCAGGTACCGGGCGGCGGGCCGCGCTGCCGGCCGCCGGCGCTCCACCGCAGCGCGACGATGCCGCCCGAGGCCGCGGCCGGTCGGCGGTCAGTCGAAGGGGGGCCGGGCGGCCGCGTCGGCCGCGTACTGGCCGCCCGGGGCGATCAGCCGCAGCGGCCGGCCGTCGGGCGTCATCAGCTGCACGGCCGGCCGGCCCTCCTGCAGCGGCAGCGGCGCCGCCTGCCGGCATACCGAGCATACCGTCAGATGGCGCAGGCCAGCATCAGACGGCACAGACCAGCATCAGACGGCACAGGCCAGCGTCACACGGCACAGACCAGCACCAGGAGGCACAGGCCAGCGTCACACGGCACAGGCCAGCGTCACACGGCACAGGCCAGCATCAGACGGCACAAGTCAGCGTCAGACGACACAGGCCAGCATCAGGGGCACAGGCCAGTGTCACACGACACAGGCCAGCGTCACACGGCACAGGCCAGCATCAGGAGGCACAGGCCAGCGTCGCACGGCACAGACCAGCACCAGGCGGCACGGCTAGCGTCACACGGCACACTCCAGCATCAGGAGGCACAGGCCAGCGGCACACAGCACAGACCAGCACCAGGCGGCATAGGCCAGCGTCACACGGCACAGGCCAGCATCAGGAGGCACAGGCCAGCGTCACACGGCACAGGCCAGCGTCACACGGCGCAGGCCAGCATCAGGAAGCACAGGCCAGCGTCACATGGCACAGGCCAGCGTCAGACGGCACAGGCCAGCGCCACACGGCAGCTGGCACACGCCACTCTCAGACGTCCTCACATCACGTTCACACGTGATGTACCAAATCACATGCCACACAACCGACACTGTCAGCAGCCGCACCACCACTACCGCACCGTACGCCGTCACGCAACGTAGCGGCGTGACGCCACGCGCGGCACTACGTCACGCGGCACGACCACCCCAAGACGGCGCTGCCAGACCAGCCCCGGTGCTGCCGCCGCCCTCGTCACCGCAACTGACCGGGCCCGGCGCCGCGCCGCCGCCACCGTCCGGCGCAGGTGGCGCCACCAGCGGCTGGTCGCCGCCGGCCGGGTCCGGGCCCGAGCCGAGCTGGACGGCGGCCGGACCGCCCACCAGCTCCACCGCCTCCAGGTCCGCCTTGTCGTCACGCAGGGTGATCTGCCGCGGGGGAGGGGGGGGGGGGGGGTGAGATCAACAGTCGTGCGGGTCACTGTGCGCGGTAGAGTACTGTCACTGTACGGCGGACCTCATGTGACGACACAGGCATGGTGACTGACAGACGGTTAAGTCTGACCAATGCGAGCTGTGTTCATCATCACATAGACAATTGTTATGATGGCCTTAATAAAAAAAGCTGGAACTTGTAGACAAGACTGGTCTACACTTATGCAGTTATGTATGTATGTATACATATAAATAAATCTATATATATATATATATATATATATATATATATATATATATACACATACATACAACAGCTATGCGAGGCCTGGGATGGATCCAGGACTTCGTTAAGGTGGGTGGGGGGGGGGGGGGGTCGCAACATTGTGCCTCCCCTAGAGTTTGCGGCCCCATAAAAAATCCTTACATTCCAACCATTAAAATTTTAAGATAATCAGCATGCTACTTATATATGGGAACCAATCTTACCGTGCATAACCCTAAAATACTAGGCATACTATGTATGCTCACACATATAGTTTATTAATTTTCTCCAGAGTATAGTGAATCCTGTCATTTTGAAGCCAAGTTTTCCGGAAAAAGGCAGGGAAAATAAACTAAGGCTGCCTGCTAAATATCACTAAAATCAAACACGAGCTTGGTTCCTAGCCTATTTGCAGCTAGCCGGCTTGTCGATGTGATCAACTGATGAGTAATGTAGAGTTTTCGGTTGTTATACAGGGAAACAAAATATCCTACGATTTAAAACATGTTAAGAACGTGATGCACGAGTATAATAAATGTCACAACTCCAATAATAATCGACGGAAATGACACATGCAACGCCGGCGGCACGTAAAGTGACATTCGACAATTGCGC